TAATGAAATGAATGTAAAGACAATCATATACTGGTATTACTATAGTATTAGTATGTTTAAATGCAAGTATAGCTCTACCCAAGGTCCAAGAGACCTTCATACTTCAATGAAACTATCAAGCATTTCATCCATTGCATCAAGTGGAATATCAAGAGTTGCCATTTCAACAAAAAGTAGAATTTGGAATGATTATTATGACAGTTGAACATTTGGTATATAAAAAATAAAGCTACTTGAAATCTGATCCCAATCATACAGCTCAACAAATTGAGGGTTAACAATGTAAAAATAGAAGGCGATCAAACATAAATGAGGACTTACAATACGATTGCATGGCATAAAGTCTAAGCATTCTAATATTGAATTCGGGCGAAGTCCCTGCAAACATAATAATAATAATAATAATAATAAATATTAATATAATATAATAACAAGATCAGATCAGAACACTATTGGTACTTGCAGTCTTAATTATTATTCTGCTACATGCATTGTCTTGATGTACGGCGCTAGAGAATAGAAAATACATATTAATCCTTGTTTATACAGATATCTATTCACGTGATCGAGATGATCCAATTAGACATTTAGATCACAATCTATAAATAGTAGCTCAAAATTATTCTATGGATCATCCACTCCAGGAAAAAAAATGAGACCTTTGACCAAGTTCGTCTCAATAGCTCACGTTCACCGTTGGACACTTCAGGACGTAAAAGATTTTATCTTTTATGTCGAGAGACTTCAGTATGAGGAAACTCATTGCAAAAGGATAGACGAGCTTAACCTCACTCAAATGTGTCTTTTGAATTTATCGAAAGAGAAGTTGGATTGTTGGGTTAAACTTCAATGGATCAATCCGGCCCTAGCAGATATTTTGGAAAGCGCGAGTATAAACTTGAAAGGTAATGCGATAGCACGAAATGACAGAGTTTAGAAATCTTTTGCTGTTTGCTTACCCCGTTTACTCGATGTAGAGAGAATTATGCTTCACGGTAAGAAGGATAGACTGTTTGGCCAGCTGACGTGACCGTTTAGCGAAATGTTTTCAGTTATATGAAATTTTCTCTGTCCAGCCACGATGTTATTGGGAAGAGCACGATTCCAAAAGTATCATGATACGATTATCAGCATGTTACATGATGACATTAGATTCGGTGTCGATATTATAGAACACGAATTCCAAGGAGACTTACGTGCATTTTGCTCCAGGGGTAACAGCGCAATGTATCCTTACTTCGCGCTTGTTTAATTCTCTAACTAATATGCTTATCCAACACAGTATGTCGCCTAGGCTATAAAGTGAGTACCGAATAACCATAGTTAAAATGACACTAGTATTTCTTTGTCTGACGCGTAAGTTGATGATCGTTAGGGAGATGACTCTGATGAAGAAAACCATTACGGAAAATATCGGAGATTGTGTAAGAAAGAGATATCGCGTATAAATCTGAGAAAGGCCAGAATGACGCACTCGGAAGAAAGCTCCGAAAGCGCGCCCGAGACTTCTGAGAGCGAAATTGGAAGTGTGAGCAGCAGTGCAAAGAGCGTGAATTATGGGAATCGCGAAAGTATAGACTATAGTGGAAGCAGTGATGAGGATGATCGGCAAGAGAGACGAATGACGGATGAAATGACTGATAGCGGTAATGATAAGGAAATCGAAGAAACGGGTTCGGATAGCGATGGAGTGAGAGGGAATAGTGATGCAGACAGCCGTTTTGATAGTGACAATCTCGCTGTAGATGACAATGACGCAGCGGATAAGAATTACCGTCTGAAACGTCGACTAACAGAAACGACTACCACAAGAGTGACTAGGCAGATGTCTATGAGGAGTCGTCGGGTTAAGAGTCGAAGAGGCCGTCCTAGAAAAGACGAAAGCAGAAATGGACGCGTTGATAAGAAGACGAGTATCCCTGTTGTCCATGTTTTTGCGTTTAAAGGTGATCCTGTTCGATACTGTATAAGAGATCAGATATGCGACATAGTTTTTCAACACAAACATGGATTAATTACGCACAAGGATTGCTGGTAATTAACCTTTCAGTAGACATACGTTTTCCCATCGTCATATACATAATTGCTAACGTGATCTTGCAGTAACCTCGTAGCACAAATTAACCAATGCCGGAAAGAATGTAATAAACGGATGAGAGAGATGCTTATTAAACATACAAGGATTTCAGATTCTGAGCGGAAATTTATTATTTATACATTATC